TAGAAATGCAGAAATGCAGGACTCTGAAATCAACACATGACCTTCTCCTGAATTGTAATTCTCAGTTTTCCTGCCACCAGCAACTCCAATGTTCTATGGCACTCTTCCCTGCAAAAAAAAAAAAAAAAAACCCACAAGAAAACAAACAAATAAACAAACAAAATGGATTTGCTTCTAGGGCCATAATGGCAGAATTTCTGAGAGAGAGATTTAAACCTAGAAGGCAATCAAAAGATATATGCCTATGAAAGAGCTAATGCATAAAAAAAATTGTTGAAAAGAATCATAACGTACCTCATAAATGTAAGAAATCAGAGCTATAAATACTTGAGAAAAGAAATAGATGAGAATTTGCATTAAACGTGTCAACTTCACTTTAAGATATAATGCACAAGATCATACCAACTAATTAACAGTATTTTAAACAACTGTCTAAAATTTTTTGACAAAATATTAACAAATTACATGCCCCCAATTTTTTCTTTCACAAATCATGGAGCAAGAAAAGCACAGTTGAAGGCAGGCAAATTATTTTTTAAAGCCATAAAAGGACAAAATAGCTCAACCTGGTGCTTTTGAATTTATTTCTGAGTACCTCAGGCTAATTAAAATTTACTTATAAAGATTTATAATGAAGTACAGTTGGCAAATAGATTAAAATTCCTTCGTAATCTGAAGGCTTGCAGAAACCTGACAATATTTACTCTGTGTAATGACCTTAGATTCCTTAAATAATCATCTCAATTAGGAACAAATTGGCCAATCTGTGAACACTACATACCCAACTGCATCAAATCATTGTCATTATTATACTATCAAAAGTTTTAGTGGTTCGTGGTAAGAGCCATAAGATCATTTTGGCCACTATTTGTCATTCAGTCTCAAAAAATTCCAAAATACTTACATAGGTTGGGTATCTCCATCTCATTATATAGTTATTCTGTGTTATAAATTCTAACTGTAATTTTATTGTGAAAGAAAATATGCTCATAAATATTGTATAGAAAAATGGATATAAACTTTTTAGGTTATTTAACATCTTTACACAACCAAGAATGTACTGATTCATCTGGACTGTCCAATTAATTTTTTTAGAAAATGTGATTTAAAAGAAGAATCCAAGTAACATAAGCTTGAACTAAGTAAATATTTAAAGGTAAAGGTTTAAAATAGACATAGCAGTTGATTTTAAAAATGTCTCAAAATCTATTCTAGAATTCAATCTTCTTTGCAACTTTGAAGGTTACTTACCCCTCTAAACCTTATTGAAATTCCATCCATCTCCTCGGTCCAAGCAATTTAATAGAATTAACTGAATCACACCTCTAAAGAACTTGTAGAGTCTCTCTGACCTTATATAAATAGGGATTTTAGAGTCATAAAGACCTGAGTTTGAATTCATATAATAGTTTGAATCCATATATGAGTATATGTAAACCATACAGTAGTTTGAGTGACTTTGGGCAAACTACTTAACCCCTCTATTTCTCTGGTTGTTGTTGTTAGAACATACCTCCATGGTGGGGGTGGAGGGAGCGATAAAGATCATATGCAAACCACCTAAAGTATCCAGAATGGTTTTAATAACTTCAACCAACCTTCATGAAAAAGTTATAAAAAAGTAGACTCTCCAAATCTATACTAGATATGTAAACATAAAGGATGAATTGGTGATTTGAAAGGAAATAACATCTGAGAAAGTTGTTTAAATCAGAGATTAAGCTTTTGCTTAGATTTCTTGTAAAATATATAAAATACCATCACATAGTAATTCTGATGTTTCATTTTAATTTCTTTTAAAATTAGTTTCATTTAGTTTCTTGATAAAAAAATCATTATGAAAAAAGATTACTATGTTCATTATTGCTTTTTAAATCCTTGAATGTTTACACTACAACTGAAAGTATTAAAAACCATCAGACAGTAAATGTTTAACCTTTGCAACAAAGAGTAAAAATATTTGAAGTTTTATAGAGATTTTTGTTATGGCTGAAATTTAACTGTCTTACAAAGAGTTAACTGAATCAAAATCAGAGGAAGTAAAGCTATACAGCCATAAAATGTAATAAATGATTACAAATACTTTACTACTGGAAATGCATGTTTTAATTTGACCTTAGCATAAAGTACACCTCCCTTCACAGAAAAATATTACATTCCACTATCCTTTTATTCAAATAAAATGAAATAAATTTGAGGGGAAATTTAGATAGGTGGGTATTAGAGAGTTTTAGATTCAAAAAAACTTTTCAAGTTTGTATACATTCTAAATGAATCATTTGATTTGTTCTCATTGTGCAATTAGTAGCTTTGTGAACTTTGTTTCTCCCCACTGTTGTGTGTTTATTAGTTAAACAAAGTTAATGTGTATAAACCAGTCCTGTAGAACTTGTAATTTTTACCTGAGAAACTGCCAAGTATTGTGAATGTTTTTTACATTCCAGCATCTAATATTTTTAAAATTATTACTGACATATAGTATAATGTTCACTAAAAGCCTTTACATTTAAGAGTGTAATTCAAAAGACTTATTTTTTGCTCAGTCTGAAGATACACTTCTTTCAGAAAAGTTTTCCTATTTACAACATAATTAAGAGCTTTCTAGAATTGATAACCTAAATTTTCAGTGGAAATTAAAAAGCACACACATACAAAATAGGCAGCAAAATCCTAAAAGGACAACTTAAGTTTACAAATGACTATAAATGTGTACACTTTCTTAAAAAGCATATAAGGGATCTTTTTCTTTTGATTAAAACACTAGTGCCCTTGTTTACCAACAATAAAAAGATTACTTTGTTGTTTTTTTTTGTGTGTGTGGGAAGTTTAGGGGAGGGAAAGGTGAAGAGAAGTATGTGAAATCCTACCTGATGAGAAAGAAATTTTACTACGGTAGTTTTTTTGTTTGTTTGTTTGTTTTTACGGGGGGTGGGGGGTGGTTTGGCGGTTTTGTTGTCTGTATGTATGTCTGTGTATGCACACGTGCCTAGAAGAGAGGGGGAAGGAAGGTGTAATGAGTAAAATGACAGTTTATGCTCCCTGTAAAGTCTACCTTGGATCAAATTCAAATGCACAAACTCCACAAAAGTCTACGGATTTGCCTAGAGCTACAAAGAATAAAAATCAAGGCAGCACCGCCCAAACCCAAACCTACTAAAAGCGTGTAGTGAACTTAACCTTTATTCACCGTTGTGCTTACATTGTAGGCACAATGGTTCGTAGAAAAGAAACAACAAAAACTCCAAGTTCCTCATGCCACTGTGTTAGAAAAGAAAGCAAAACAAGTGAATACTTTATACCAAGTAACCTCGAAATCACATTAAGCTGCCACTTACATGACACTTACTTTGGCACGGGCACACACCTGTCTGCAAAAACAGACCTATTCTTGCCTCTTAAGACAGAAGCCCAGTTAGTAAACATTAAGGCTGGAAGTGTTAGCATTTTGATTGCAAAATATTCTACCTGTCAGCGTAATTCTTTCGTCTGGAGGCACCGAGAGGACTGGGCTTTCCTGCATTTCAAAAGGGCCCAGATTTGGAGAGGTGGCCTGAGCTCCTCTGACTTTGCGGGGTGTTCCACCGGTGCGACCCTTCATTCCCAGGGACAGCAGGCGCCCTTTGTACATCCACTTCTGCAGCTTCTTGACTGTCACCGCGGGCGGCCTGAGGAAGGGGAGCCCTTCCTGACCGTCTCCTTTGCTGCTGCGTATCACAGGGGTCCCCGCAGAATCCCTAAAAGTGCTTCCCGGGGAGCGGCTGGGGTCCTTGGGTTCGGGAGTCAGGAGGTCGGAGGGCGCGGTGACCCGGGCGCTGCCTCCGTTCCAGTCGTCCATCCCACCTCCACGTGGCGGGGACTGGTCTCGGTCCCCGCGCGTGCCGCACCTGATCCAGCTGTCGCTCGGCCACCGCTGGAAGGGAGGCGGCTTGGCACCCACCCGGAGGCTCTCGAGGCTTCTGCTGCAGGACAGCTGCATCCGAGAAGTCCGCAGGTGGCCTCTCCCCGACACCCTCGGAGGCGACCGGGGCGGGGACACCTGCTGCCAAGGGCGGTCCCCGCCTCCCCGCTGGGTGCAGGCTCGGCGGTCCACTACGCCGCAAGGGGAAGGCGGCTGGCCCAGAGCCGGGACTCCCGCAGCGCAACCGCGATCCGCCCAGCCCCGCCGCGCGCCCGAGTAAACCCGAGTCGGGGCAGGTCGTGCATGGCCTGGATCAGCAGATAATAGGCCTCTCGCAACTGGGTCTGCAGCCTGCCTGTCTCCAGGCGGCCGCCCTCCGCCCCCAGGGAGGAGCCCGCCGCCGGGGGAGGCGGGGGCCACCGCTCCGCCTCCGCCCCCTCAGGCTCGGGCGCGGACTGGGAGCCGCCGGGCAGGTTCTCGTAGTAGTCCGCCGCCTCCTCTCCGCTGCCCCCGGAGTCCGGCGGGACGTGCGCGGAGGCGCGAGCGAGCCCGCGGCTGCGAAGGGCGGCCTC